TGTTGCCATTTAAAAACAATTTGGGAGTTTTGGGCTCAGCTGTGCTCATTAATCTGCAATTTAGCTTCACAAATTATTTTGCAGCCATTTAAAGATTAAAGGGTCTTATTCTTTCACATGCACTATTTGTTGCTGATGCTTCGATTTGTACAAACCTTTAATCCAAAGTATTAAACTTCGATATGTAAGTCATCCCACAATATTTGTGATATGAACAGGAAAGATCAGGTGTCCAGTCCTGCTCCTATGGGCCAACATCCTGCAGAGTTTAGCTCCAACCAGCAAACAGCACTCTTGCCTGGAAGTTTCTAGTGAGTCTGAAGACCTGAAGTGGTTCAGGCGTGTTTAATTACGGGTCAGAAAACAATGCAAAACAGTGGCCTTACAGGAGCAGGTTTGGACACCCAACAACACTCTCTTCAACTAAAGGTGAAAAACATCCACACAAAGCTAGAAACATGTCCAGAGTGCAGATGCTACATTAATTGAGTTCATACTTTGGCTTTTGACAGTATGGTAGAATTTGCTACTAGGACTGAGTGATGTATTGAATGCATACAATGATATAACAGTATTACAGCATGGTGATATTTACATGAACCAGTTCAAATTTTCTAACTGCCCATTTTGATGAATCTGATTCAAAGATTTGACTGCATCAATTGCTTAAAAGTTTCCCAAAATGTGTTTGTGGAAACAAACAAAAAAAATATGTAGGTAAATATTGCTGTTTTTAATGTGTCTTGTTATTTTGGTACCTGTAAATAACTACAATTAAATAATAATTAAGTAATAATTAAACTTTTTTCCTTGTATTAATTTAGTGAAATTTTATTTGTCAAAACATGCCCTTTTATCATTTTTAATCATATTTTTTACTTTATTTTACTTCCCGTTTTAAATGTTTTGAATTTAAAGATTGTTTGGTCAAATATATAAATACTTAACATTCGTAAATTAACAACATACATTCTTTTGAATTTTCTTTGCATCAAAGAATTGTGAAAAAAATTATCAAGTTTTGGTTACAGAGCAGCACAACTGTTTTCAACATTGATAATAACAAAAAATGATTCTTGATAATAATTGAGCACCAAATCGGCATACTAGAATTATTTCTGAAGGATCGTGTGACACTGAAGACTTGTGTAAGAGATATTGAAAATTCAACTATAAAATATACAAAGGTACAGTTTTGGGTAAGCATACGAGACCTCAAAAACATTAAAAAAATTATCGACCCCAAACTTTGGAACAGTAGTGTATATATACACAGTATGATCAAATATCATTATATTTAGATACAATTATTTTAGCTGCACCCAGCCTTATTACTTATATGTATGAGCATATCTCTTAAGCATTCCATGTGGAAGACATCCTCCTTCCCAGTGGAATGCTAGTAACATTGTAGCAGTTTGTGTAAACCATCCCCCCGCTTGCCCCCATGGACTGAAAAATAAACAAGGTCACAGTAGGTCAAGTGTCTGACCATTTACCCACCACCCGCTGTGCCTCATGATGCCTGAACGGTGCCTAAGCCATGGCCCACGGCCACAGAGAGGATCTGTTTGTCCTCTTGTGGAGCCGTTGAGTGAAGGAACACTCACATGTTGTCTTCTGTGTTCTCACAGGCGTGGCTGAGGAAGGAGGCAGAACATACACGCTATGAGGCAATCCCTTCTCAAAACCCCAGAGACTCTGAAAGAAATGAAAAGGAGGAAGAAAAAGATGATTAATTGTATTACTTCTCAATGGTAATTCAAAACAGGTGCCTGAGTGTGCTTTTGTGTGGTGCGAATGTGCACGAATGCTGTTTGTTTTAGTGTTTCATTTTATGTAAACCAAAATGACACATTCAACAAACAGGAAATAACTGGAAGCAGAAAATATCACTAACAGGAAATGTGCGCACTTGTAAGTTTTATCTCGCTGTCCAGTTCTTTATGTAAGGGTGGTGCGCCATAGTGGTGAAAGCTAGGGACTGGTGAATATAAGGTCACTGGTTTAAGCCCCATGAGGAATGAGTTATGAAATACTGTACCCCTGATTAAGACGCTTAACCCCAGGTTACTCCAGGCTGAAGGAGAGGACAATCTTAGCGCTCAGACGTTTCCCTTTCATAGATCAGTAATATTTTATTATATTATCAACTTTGTCTCAGATGTTTCTTCTCAGATGAACAATACACTACTGGTCAAAAGTCTGGAATAATTAATTTGTGTGTGTGTGTGTTTGAAAAAGGTCTCTTAAGGCTGCCGAAGCTGCATTTATTTGATCAAAAATACAGTAAATGCAGTAATATTGTGAAATATGTTTACAATTTAAAAGAACTCCTTTCTATTTTAATACATTTTAAAATGCAATTAATTTTAGTGTGTTGACAAAGCTAAATTTTCAATATTACCCAAGTCTTCAGTGTAACATGATCCTTTAAAAATATTTTAATATGCTGATTTGTTGCTCAAGCAACAACATTTCTTATTAACAATGTTGAAAACATTTTTTCTGTTTAATGTTTTGCTGAAACCGTTATATACAACCATCCAAACGTGTGGGGTAAATAAGATTTAAAATATATATGTGTAGGCTATATATCTTTTACTTAATACATGCATTATGCATTAAATTGATCAAAAGCGACAATAAGGACATTTATAATTATAAAAGATTTATTTTTCAAATAAATGCTGTTCTTTCTACTCAAATAATCCTGAAAGAAATATCAGTCTCTACAAAAAAAAAACAGCAAACAGAAAAAAACAGTTAAGAACACATCAATAAGAACCATTATTAATAATTTAGTGCCAATAATAACTGAGCACTAAATCAGCATATTATAATGATGTCTGAAAGATCATGTGACACTGAAGACATTGCCAAATAACATTGCCTAATAATATTTCACAATATTACTGTTTTTACAGTCATTTTAATTAAATAAATGCAGCCTTGGTTACACTTTCAAAAATGTTTTTTTTTAAATCATTATTCCAAACTTTTGACCGGTAGTGAAAAAATCGACACAAATAAGGAAATTGTTGTGATAAAATAAGGTGTCTATATTTTAATTTGTCCTTGAATGACAGAAGAAAAAAAACATCAAAAGTGTCTTTGCCCTTCATTTAATCTCATAGCTGTCTTCAAAAAACAATTGAGATATTTGTGTTTTTTCTTTTACTTCGGGATTGTAATGAGTACTTTAAGTTGCTTTTGATAAATGCACACACTAAACGGCTACTTACGTACTTAACGGCCATTAAAAGCACAAGCTTGTTAATTTTCATTCGTCTGTCCGCTTAAGAAAAAAAAGTCACCCACTATGAAGCAGAAAACAGATGAGTTTCCCTGTGAATTATGGTCACGCTAAGTGCCTGGAGCATCTTGCATTACAAAACCACAGCCACAGGAATAAATTTACAGATGTGTTCTTTTCATTTAGTGCATCAATGATACATTCAAGAGACATACTGGCCGTTTGTAACTGGAGTGGCTTCTTTGCATAAGGCAGAACAGCTCAGGTTACGTGTGGCTCCATATGTGGAGTCTTGGCCATGCCGTCGGACCCTCCTCACACCGTGGTGTTAAGAGGTCCCACTCCACCCACTGCTGTTGGCCAGAAACCGAACAGCCCAGGTGGATGTTGTATGCTTGGGCCTATCGATCGTTTCACTTCCAAAAAGACAGAACAGAAAGAAGGAAATCAGTGTTGCGGTGTGCGTGTTTCTTCCCTGAGAGGTCAGGAAGGGGCTACAACGTGGGGTTCACCCAACTCCCCTCACCTCAAAAAGGGAGGGAAACTAAAAAAATCAGGCTTGTGGGAGGGGGACACATGTTCTCCGCTCTCTCCCCTCATCTGGCCAAAATGTTTGACAAGTAATTTTGCGAGCAGTCCCCAAGAACACACAAAGCTGCTCACACAGCACTGTTTCCAGATGTTCTCTGTGCGGCGCCAACCCGAAATGGGTTTGCGTGAGGGTGTGCACATGTTTAGATACACTGGTGCATGTGCGTGTTGGCTTGTTCAGCTTGCCTTCCGTTCTTCACTTCCCTTGTGTGCGTGTGTTGGTATTTTTGGGTGATTGAGGGTTAAAGATGACTCACTGTATTACTCATTGGTCCAGGGACACACAAATCCAGCGTGTGTGACGTGATGTGCTTTCACAAGCTGATCAGCTATGAACACAGTATAAAGTCTGCAGAGAAGCGAGAAGAAAGAACAGTTTGGTTAATACATCACACATTTGGCATAGTTAAAATAACGAAAGAGAACTATGAAATGCAAATCAGACATGCAAAATTCATTTAATCAGGGTTTTAAACTTTTCAGACCCAGGTACAGACACTCTGCAAGCCCTGGGTCCCCCAATATAAAGAAAAATCTAGATTTCTCTGTAACACTTCAACAAACATTTTTAACTATTGAAGATAATTTCCACTTAAAAAATGAACAGTTATTGTGAGATTGTAATAAGAAGGTCATATCGTGACATAAAAAGTCAAATCGTGAGATATAAAGTGCAAATGTGACATAAAATCTGAATGAATCCAGGCTACATAATCATGTACAAAAAAAAAAAAATTTAATATGGAATATTTTTAAAGGAAATCCTAAATGGTTTATATATCTGCCATGAAGCCCGTCAAACCCTCTGTGGACTAATGGATAAAAATCCTTTGTTTGGAATAACAAAGTTTAGAATCACATAAATTATGCAAATTATGACAATTTTTATATTTAGTTAACCTAATAAAAATAAACACAATTAAATTAATCGCATAATTCGCACCTGGTATATTCAGAAAACTACCAGTGAAAGGTTCTTAAGATTTAAAAAAATAAAATGAAATAAATCCACAGCCACACATATCTCTTCACACAACATGAAGGAGGTGGCCTTCCCTGCAAGATAAGGGCGATGGAGAGAAAGAGAGAGAGAGAGACGTGGGGGGAGTGGAGAGAGGCCATATAAAACCCCTGGAGCACAAGCCATGCTTTATCCTGTGACACGCTCATTTCTGTCTCAGGCACAGGAAACCCCTAAACTCTCTCAGCCTTGCCCCAGCGCCTGCACACACTCTCTCACACACCTCTGCGTGCTCAGAGATGAGAATGGCTGTACGAAAAATGAATGAGCTCTGGAAAACGATGGGTCTGGCTTTAATGTTCGGCTTTCTTTTGCTTCACAGTAAGTTTATTTGAAGTCTTTTGTAAACTGTACTAAGTTTTGTGCCTTACATGCAGCGTTTCATGATTGCACACTCTTTTATGTTCTTAGTTTATATTCTGCATCATTCATTTTCAGGCTTCTTTGTTGTATGGATTTATAGGAACATATTGTTTCCTTATAATTTGTTAGGAAATCATTCAGTAAGTGGATACATTATATTTTAAGTTGTATAAAAGCATCACAGTTTTTAAATGCTAGTATTTGGGGCTTAAGTGGCTTTTATTAAATTTTACTCTAAAACAGTCTCACCTTGATTGATGTGTTTGTAGTGTTTACTCAGAGGAGACGGAGTTAAAAAGTTAGCGGGAAAACTCAAACAAAGGGCTCTGGTTTGGAGTGGAAACATGCCGTTGATCGTAATTGCGGGCTATATCCTGCTCTCCGTCTGGGTGGAGCTGGCTGAAACATGGGCGTATATGTGTTTAGAGACTAAAGAGGTTGGAAAAGTCTGGAAACTGTCTGAGGAGTCTGTTAAGCATCTTCATCCTGTTTTCTGAGACTACATTTGGTGAAATTGTCCTTTTGAAAAGCAGTCGTACATGTGGATTCGTTGTAGGACCACAGCGCTTGGTTCATGTTCTCCTGAAAATAGATGGATGTTTACATGATCAGCAACAGGGCTGAAGACAGTTGTGCGTAAAAGGCACTCGCCTTCCAGGGAGGTTACCACATGTCCGTTATTTCAAAAAGGAGTAAAAAAAGCTGGTTTGTAAGTGACGCCCTTGTGGGCAGGGCAGAGCTGTACGCCCCATTCCCTTTTCCCAAGAGGTGAGAGTAATGCTGTAGGTTTAACGGTGGGAAGGTTTAAACACGGAGCAGCTTTTCAAGAGCATGGTGGTTTAACAAACTTTTACCAGGAAACTAGTGCTGTTAAAATTGAAAAAGCAAAACATTTAAAAAAAAAAAAAAAACGATTTTGTATAAGAAAAGTTCTACAAAAAACAGACTTCCATACCAGAAAAACCCTCATACAGCACATAATCAGTTTTCAAGCTAAATCAAAAATTGAATTAGGCAGCTGAAGAGAACCCTGCGTAGCTAGCCAAAGCTAGTGTGTAATATGAAATCTGAAGTTAATGTGCCATACATTCCTATAGTTATCCTCAAATGTTCAGCTCAGAGATTTTAATAAGAGTAATGTGAAACTGTAAACCAGCTGAATTCATTAGTCTGTAACAGCCATGCTGCTGTTAAGACTTCAGAGGCTGCAAGAAGACATTGTTCAAATGAAGCCACTTAGAGACCGCAAAGCACTATACATTTCCATTCCCACCAGTCTGTTAAATGCTTGACACTTTAGTGCAATTGGCACTCCTGTGAGACTTCGCCAATGGACGGTCAGAGTGTAGCAACACTTTTCAAACAACCATGGAAATATGTGAGCATGGAGTTTTTAGATCATAAAATTAATGTCTACTGTCTCTAAGACACTGTTAATTGACTGCAAATTCAAACATCACTCTAGTGACTGAAACATCAGCACCGAAACATATTAATTTCAACACCACTTTGGCACCATATTCAGCTCATTTCACAGGATTCCATGACTTCAAATTGTTGTTTATATGTTTTAAATAACATATTTGTGTTGTCAGAGTTTGTTCTTGTAGCGCAAACAGAAGCATATGACACTAATAAGGTCATGGTTCAATTCCCAGAAAATACATGAACTGATAAAACTTACAGTATACCTAAAAAGCATCTGCTAAATACATACATTTAAATTCACAAAATGAGAAAGAGTGAACTGAAAAACCTTCAAATTACAATAACCGGATCAGTGGTTTCAGCCATGTGGACAGGCAACCACACGCTACAGTTGCTTCAGAATTAAATTAACCAAAGCTAAGTGGCTAAAAAGGGTCAAATTACATGGTATTTGAATGAGAACTCCAAGGAAAGACTCAGAAAAACTGCATTCCAACCGGCCACCCACGGTTCAAATGTGACAGTGACCTCCCAACGTAAGTATTGCTCTTTCAGAGGTGCAACCTTCCTCAACTGATGGATGGAAAGGGCAAGAAATAATGATTCGCTATGACAGCCTGTTGGCAAATGTGTTTAGCTGAGCTCACATTCTCCCCATAGTTAGGTTAGCCACCCGAACAACACCCTGAATTTCAGTTACCACCTTTTCCCATGTAGTGAGTTCACCCATTATACACCCTGGTAGCAATGTGGCATTTCAGTGGACAGGTGCCAGGATGACGGTTGGTGCCATGGAATATTATTGAATCTGGCTGCGATTTGAGCTCAGTGGCGAGTGAGAAAACACCTTCACGCGTCTTTAGCTCCCTGGCAGACCTTGCGTCCCTCGAGCAGGTCTTTTCCCGGTCCTAAAACCGCTACTGTGGTGTATTACAGTTAGATATCTGGATAAAATCCAAGGCCTAGATCAACTGTACCAACAGAAGCCAATTCATCCGCCCTGATCTGAACCAACACACGGGAATTCCCAAACTGCACAACGCAGATGATGTTTAAAGGCACTATTATCAAATACGTAAAGTATTTTTATCACATTGGATAGGACAAGCAAAGCCATTTAGTGGACAGCAGATGCATATTTTCATGGGTTTAGCTACACAAAGACACAGTCAAGGTACAAAGGAAGAGGAAGTTCATGCATGCCAGTGCATCACGCGTGATAACAACAAGATGGATGGCAGGGGTCACTATGGGGCAAGGAGAGAAATGATAAGCTTGTGGACCTCCTATCCATATACCTTGGTTCTGGAACATTCTCTTTGGTTGACGATGTACTCTTTGGCCAATAAAAACAAGCAGCTGCCCGTTTCTCATGGCTTTAAGCTATTGCCTGGCATTCCTGCAGTCCCAGGCCACTCCGGTGAGGTTAACGTCATGTACCCAGCCTATACACAAATGCTGTAGGATATCTTACATCACTCCGATTTGGGTGTGCTCGGTCTCACTGGGCTTTTCAGAGATGCATATTGATTGAAACTGAAAGGGTGGAAAAATAAGCAGTTCATTCTGTGATTATGTGAAAAGATCATCTGAGCAAGCAGTAATTATTGCAAGTTGCATGTTTAGACGTTTACGTCCATCACTTCACTTATAATTAAGAATAGGATAAAACAACTATTACGCATCATATTATGAACAAATGTGAAATAACAACTAACAGTCATGTTTAATTAGTACATCTTAAATGAGAACAAAAAGACAATCTGGATACATTTCAGGGTTTGTTGTTGTCACTCTTGTGAGTCTGTTATTCTGAAGTTCCCCTGGCACTCCAATGTAGTTTTGCTGTTATTGCGTCTCTCACAGCTGGCATCCAGCTTCCAACCACTCTCACTCTGACACTGCGCTCTGGTAATATGACTATCCAAAAACCTGAGTCCAAACATTAGTGTGTAATTAGCCTGTGGTTCAACAAAATCTGTAACAAGCGGAAACTCTAAGACACCATTTTGGACCAGTCTGCTGGTTGGATCATCATATTAGTCAAACAGCAACTTAGAAAATGATGGCAAAGTTTCAGTTCCTCAGAAACTTTAATTGTAACCTTTGAGTTTTAATGTGTTCCCATTGATAAGGAACTTGTGCAACATCCTGTACGTAGTCATAAATTTGTGTATTTTCCATGATTAAAGGTTTAGTTCAGTTCCAGGATAAATATTTCCGGATAATTTACTCACTCCCATGTCATCAAAGATGTTCATATCTTTCTTTCTTCAGTTGAAACGAAATTAAGGTTTTTGGGGAAAAGCATTCCAGGATTTTTCTCCATATAGTGGACTTCAATGGTGGCCAATGGGTTGAAAGGCCAAATTGCAGTTTCAATGCAGCTTCAACGGGATACACGATCCCAGCCGAGGAATAAATGTCTTACCTAGTGATTTTTTATTTTTTTTTAAATGACAGATCATTTCGCTAAATAAGACCCTTATTCCTCGGCTGGGATCAGTGATCTTCACTATTTTTTTCACGAGAGCCGCACTTATAGGACAAAGTTAATAGGAGAGCCACTTTTACTGCAAAGTATGAAAAGTTACATCCAGTCATAAATAGCATGTCTGCTTCTCAATCTGTCATCCCTGAACATACAATATGCAATGGAATACAATGGGGTTTATTTTTAAAAGTTATTTAAAGTTATTTATTTAGATATTTGCTTCTACATTTGCCCATCATGTATCAAACCATAAGAGCACATTCGGCGTTAAGAGCTGGAAAGATTGCCAAAACAACTCCGCAGTGAGTCAATGTCATGGGTGTAAGGGCAGAGCAAGTTTAAATATCTTTCTAGTCTATATTTCCATCTTGTAATTCCGCTGTTTTGGGTATTTTTAAAATATAAATTATTTATAATAGAGTAGACACTGACTGTTGTTCATGTATTTATGTTCTCATTTAACGAGACAGCAGACTCTGAAAACACTGCGCACTTCAGTATGTGTGTAGTAAACGAAACCGCGAGTCTGTGCCAGAAAGAAAGACAGTTTCTGAAGAAAGACATTTTTCAATCGCAGAGGCTGCGATTACACTCGGTCACGTGACACGCCAGAGTAAAGAGGTGTGTTCCGCTTGAAGATCGATTGGTGTAGCCTTTGACATCAAAGTACAGCGAGAGAAAGCATAAGGAGACGTCCGCGCTCTCTTATAGCTCTCGCAGTACTTTGATGACACACACCCATCGGTCTAAGCAGCGCTGCTTCAAGTCGAGCGCGGGCCATCAGCAGAAAAAGAAAAGAAATAAAACAGTAAACAGCCAAAGGACGTAATTAGAATGGGAGATGGATCGGTTTGTGAAAGCGAAGAGAAAAGCCATAGATAAAGTCGCACAGACCCAGGCAGGTGCAGGTCATTTAAAAGCTAAATGCAGAAAATATGAAAATATCGGCTTCACTCACCGTGTCTATACCGGACGCTACAGTTGTCGCGTCGCGCCGCAACAGCTCTACACTGGACGCGACAAAGCGACCGTTGCA